GTGGCAGTGGGTTGGATTAGAGTTTTCCCAGTTTTGTTCATCCAAAATCAGATCTGGTTGTGTATTGTTTGTCTGGGCAGGTTGGTCTCTCGTTTGGACGACGTGTTTGTCTTGAGAGACGGCCGTGCGCAGCTCATTGATGATGAGACGAGCGAAATTACTGGTGCCTAAGATGACTTGATTTATTCTGAGCCAGTGTGCCTGGATGGGTACCCTATGGAGGAGGCATTTGTAACGGAGAGGAACTGCAGCTCGTACAATGGTGGTGGCGAAGAGGTAGGGGATTCGTGCGACCCAGGCGTTGGGAGTATTGCCCGTGACATGGCAGCCGAGGATAGAGAGGAAGACGGCGTGGTCGTGTCAAGACAAAGGGGTCTTGTTGGACCGGGAGGTGATGTTCCTGTTCTTCATATTAAACTTCATTCCATGATATTCGTCAGACATAATTTTGCAGATGTGTTGTGTGAGATTCAGAACAAAACACCTATATTGTTGGTTAGAATGAATCAGCAGCAGAAGCCGGCACAACACAGTCATTGCTTTGCTTTGCAAAAAAAAATGGCAGCTTATTTCCTGATTTATTGATGTGCCGTCGTTCACAGGGTCAGGACTAGTAAGGCAGCAGATGAGAGGGAGCACAGTTCTAGCAGAGTGTCTGCCCTCGAGGCTTCGGTTCGTGCCTATGTTGATCAAAACTGCAAATGTTATTAATCCAGCAATTGGAACTAGCTTTAAGTCTCTCGAGGAGGACTATGAGTTCTACAACCTGTACTCTTGGGAAGTTGATTTTGGTGTCCAATACGTAAAAAGCCATTTGAATGTACACCAGAAGAAGTGCGTATGCGCCTGTGCGGTGAGTAATCGACAACAACTTATTTTATCAAAAAGTTTGTGCGGAATGATTCAATCTGTTTTTGTCATATATGTAGTGTGTGTCACATTGGACTGACCATTTTACATCTGCTGCTGGTCTCTGTGCGCATGTGTGTGTGTGTGTGTGTGTGTGTGTGTGTGTGTGTTTTCTACAGGGTAAACCATTGCAGTCTAATGGCCGGTCGAAGATGTGGGTGCAATGCCATGATGCGGCTGCTGAGATCGGATGATTGTGGCTGGTATGTGTGCGAGCACAGGTCAGAGCACAACCATGATCTATCAGCTAACCTTGGGGAGAAATTGCATTGGAAGTTAGCTCGGCACATAGATAGTTACACAAAGTAAGAACACAGGTAGCAACACGCCAAAAGTTGACAATCCACAATGAGCATCAGGCGTTTATTGACATTGTTCGTTTGTGGTTTGACGCCATTATAGATGACGTTTTGTTTTTATAAGAACCATTTTGAGACCTTCATTTATGTATTCTATTCCCTTCATCCCACAATGAAAGACGTTTTTACAAGCTAGTCCTACATTATGGGACAGAGAGAGTACTAAACTGTATGTTTGCTGAATTTGGGGTAGCCATGGCATTAGCAGCTTGTTGCTTTTTCTGGTAGGTCATGATAGATTGTGCTGTGGTTTAAGAAAAAATGACCTTGTTTTTTTCCAATGATATCTCTGTTGATATATGGGCTGTGTCGTCTATCTCTCGACCGAGATGTGGATGACGACGACGCCATATCTATGGTGGTGTTCTTGTTAGCTTTGCTGGATTGCAATGGATAGGGCGGTGCTGTTCTTGGCCGGTATAAATAGATTGTTTTCAAACGGTCTGATCGTGAGCCTAGACGTTCGGCAACAGAACACTGATGTGCAACGGCCCGTGTTGTAATACTATGGGAACATGAGAGCGTGCGCGTGCTCATGTTCGTGAATTGCTCGCACAACATGGACTTGATGGGTGAAATGATGGCTTGTCTGACCAGCCTGGCAGCACTTCGTCGCCTAAATGGGATGACACTGTATGTAAAAAAGAAATACGGTGTGGTATGAGTACCTGACAGCTAAAATACACGTAGTAAATGCGACACTGCAGCTGATCTGTACGATGACTGACGATGGAGATTACGAGCTGCATGGAGCTCGGCCTCCAAATGGTATTTTCGTAAGCTAAAGCTGTAACAAACAGCTAAAACGGGACAGTTTTCGGCTGATAGTTAAAAACGGTTTCAGGCCTTTTTACGTGGTATAGGGCGAAGCGAGGCCAGTCGTGCTTTCACCAGGAAACTGATTTCCCTCGGTCAAATTTCCACCGACGCCCTTGACAGTTCAGCGCAATTACGAAAGGAATGCCATCGAGCCATGTTTCAATCAATCCATTCGTCTCGTCTCCCTCATCGCAAGCCCACGCACGAACAGAGACAGCGAGGGGGAGAGGAACCTAGGGTTCCGCCGCCGCCCCAAGAGCCGCCGCCGCGGCCTCCACTCGCCGTCGCCCACCGCCGCCTCCTCCACTTGCCGTCGCCCGCCGCCGCCTCCTCCACTCGCCGTCAGTAGCCGCCGCCTCCACTCGTCCTCGCCCACCGCA